CCTCCTGGGCAGCAGAGCGCAGCAGTCCCTGTGAGTCCTTCAGGCCCCGCCCTGGGCCAGATGGTGAGTGGCAGGAAGGAGCAGGGCCCTCGGACACTCACACAGGAGAGTCCTCCTGGGCAGCAGAGCGCAGCAGTCCCTGTGAGTCCTTCAGGCCCCGCCCTGGGCCAGATGGTGAGTGGCAGGAAGGAGCAGGGCCCTCAGACACTCACACAGGAGAGTCCTCCTGGGCAGCAGAGCGCAGCAGTCCCTGTGAGTCCTTCAGGCCCCGCCCTGGGCCAGATGGTGAGTGGCAGGAAGGAGCAGGGCCCTCAGACACTCACACAGGAGAGTCCTCCTGGGCAGCAGAACGCAGCAGTCCCTGTGAGTCCTGTCAGGCCCCGCCCTGGGCCAGATGGTGAGTGGCAGGGAGGAGCAGGGCCCTCAGACACTCACACAGGAGAGTCCTCCTGGGCAGCAGAACGCAGCAGTCCCTGTGAGTCCTTCAGGCCCCGCCCTGGGCCAGATGGTGAGTGGCAGGGAGGAGCAGGGCCCTCAGACACTCACACAGGAGAGTCCTCCTGGGCAGCAGAACGCAGCAGTCCCTGTGAGTCCTTCAGGCCCCGCCCTGGGCCAGATGGTAAGTGGCAGGGAGGAGCAGGGCCCTCAGACACTCACACAGGAGAGTCCGTTTCCGAGCACAATTCAAAGTGTTGGTGCTGACCTTTAAAGCCCTAAACGGCCTCGGCCCAGTATACTTGAAGGAGCGCCTCCACCCATATTATTCAGCTTGGACACTGAGGTCCAGCTCCAAGGGCCTTCTAGCGGTTCCCTCACTGCAAGAAGTGAGGTTACAGGGAACCAGGCAGAGGGCCTTCTTGGTAGTGGCACCCACCCTGTGGAACGCCCACCCATCAGATGTCAAGGAATAAACAACTACCTGACTTTTAGAAGACATCTGAAGGCAGCCCTGTTTAGGGAAGTTTTTAATGTTTGATGTTTTATCGTGTTTTTAGTAATCTGTTGGGAGCCGCCCAGAGTGGCTTGGGAAACCCAGCCAGATGGGCAAGGTATAAATAAATAAAAAAAATACTGTTTCGATCCCTGGCATCTCCAGGCAGGGCTGGTAGAGATCCCAGCATGAAACCCTGGAGAGCCACTGCCACGGAGGTTGCATCTACACAGCTATTTAAAAAACGCTATAAAAATGCTTTGAAAAAAAACCATTGTAAAGCTCACAATGGAAAATTTCAGAGTTCTAATTTCAGCTCTACAGCGCCTTCTGGTGTCACAGTGTTATAACACATTTATAACATTTTATTTTTACTAATGTAGCTGAGTCCCGAGTGTAGATTGAGCTAGAAAGTCAATGGCCAATAAGGCAACATCCTATGTTCCTATGATACAAACCGTCTTGTACCAACCTGCTGGTTTTGAACTTTTACCACAGACACAGCCTTCTTGTAACATCAAAGAAGGATCTGTCAACTAGAGGCAAATCTGCATGTGATCTGTGGCCATTTGAATCCACTATTCAAGGCTTCAAAACTCTGAGTAGAATCGTACGGTTATTGATGCTGAAAGCAAAACTCCCTCTGACCTCATTAAATCATGGCTTTGCCCTTTGTGGTGTAAATCACACTCCCACTTTTTAGTCTTGGATCTGAAAAAGATCCTCCTTTTTTCCAAGATAGAAACAAAAATATCTTATTAGACCTTTAGTGCTGAACCTGTTTTCCCCTGGCCCCATTATAAAAGAAAGAAGGAGGTCAAAGGTCAGTTGTAAGCAACAGCTTCTTTAAAGTATGTTTTCTTTTTGGAAAGTGGAGTTTTGACTTGATCTCTAAGTTTCGTTTTGTTCATTGGCCCCTGAAGTGGCTTTAGTTTCAGGGTCAAAGGAGGTCTCCCCTGGAGAGGGCCATCAAAATAAGATAGGAAAATGATCAACAGTGCAGCATGTTTTGAAAGCCAGATGACAAAAGGAAACCAGATGACAATGACCATTACAGGATCCACCCTCAATTAATGTAAAAGTGTGACTGAGGTAAAATATTTTAACAACAACAACAACAGCAGCAGGAACAGAAACTACTTTCATTGGATAGACTGAAGGACTTCACCTGTAATACTATCTTCTTCTCCCTCTGTTTGTGTAACTAACCATGTCCATATGAGCAAACATCCTGAGTGATACTCCCCTTTTAGGCTATCCCTCATTAAGATTTTCTCTTCTGTTAAATTACACAGGTTTAATGCTAATTGATTCCACCTTAGTTTTCACCAGGGCTTTTTTTTCCAGTTGCAACTCGCTGGAACTGAGTTCTCCAGTGGGCGCCATTGCAAGAGAACAAGAGAGGCGTTTGTGGTGAATTCCGGCATCATTTTTTCTAGAAAAATAGCACTGGCTTCTGTCGTCTTTTCTGAATCGTGTCCTTTCTGCTGGAAAAAGGCAGATACATATTTTGGTACTGTCTGTCCTTGGGCCTACCATTTAATGTTCTGTTCTGTCTGGATGTTCAAAATGCTTGCACATGCATAGAGGCACTGTTGTTCATGAATATTTCACATATTCCAGGACCCGGCCTGGTATTGAAAACAGATCCAAGGGCTAAATTCTGGGGAACCCTGGCACAGATCACGTCTTCCTTGCAATGTCCTCTCCCCTGCATGCGCTCTCCCCCCTCTCTCTCTCTCTCTCTCTCTGCAAATGTTTCTACAATAAACTACCTTAAAATTAGTTCTTTCCCTCTAGGCAGGTCACAGTATCTTCAAATGGTGAGGGCTGCTGGGCTGCACAGCTGGATGAAATTCTGCCCCAAGCATTGCACAGTATTATTCTTGGGGATGTCTTAAAAACAGCATCCTAAAGTGCTGCCATCTAGTGGCTCAGGAAAGGTGGGGAAAGTTTTGCTAACCTGAGTCTCAATGCACAAGAAAGACACGCTTGTTCGTTGGGGACAAACATCTAAACAGGAACCATTCTTTGCAGGAACAGAACTTCCATATAATTGATTTAATTGTTCAGAGGTTTCTGCAGAGTTTCTTGGTCGTTTAATCCAGGTGAGAAATTTATCAGGGTCTGCTTTTTTTGCTTTTAAAAATAGTTATAAAAGCCAATCACAAACAAACAATCACACCCTAGGCCAACCCCAACCTCTCTCACCACCAAAGAAACACAAGCGAATACTAAAGAGAACCTGCACAAGCGACACTGACACAAAACCCCACACATACATCAAGTAGAATAGAAACATTGCCCACCCACCACCTCTTTCTCCCTTTTCTTCCTAATGTAACACTAATGTCTCAACAAATGAAACTGATCTGTAGAAAACGTAACTTGAAAAAAAGAGACATCGCACATACTTTTGTAAACCAAGAAATCTTTAATAAAAAACATGATTTTAAAAAACAAACTCATTAAAGCTTCAAATGCGAAAGAAGTAATAAATAAATGAAATACAGTGGTACCTCAGGTTACATATGCTTCAGGTTACAGACTCAGCTAACCCAGAAATGGTACCTCGGGTTAAGAACTTTGCTTCAGGATGAGAACAGAAATCGTGCTTCGGCGGCACAGCAGCAGCAGGAGGCCCCATTAGCTAAAGTGGTGCTTCAGGTTAAGAACAGTTTCAGGTTAAGAACAGACCTCCGGAACGAATTAAGTACTTAACCTGAGGTACCATTGTAATTATAAACAACAGATCTGCAATGGAGAAAAAATGTGTTGGTCCATTTTGGGAAACTCAGGGAAGCGTCGTCATGAGCAGGAAGACATTTCGGAAGCAACATTCATAGCTGTTGGCTCAGCTAGCATCCAGCTTTGTTTCTGACACGCAACACATAATCTGCCAAACAGAGCGCTGTGTCTCTTGTCAATAAGCAGTGTCTTATCCTAAACTTAGCCTAAACTGTTTACCTAAGAAATAGAAATCATCATATACCAGCCAAAGTTAAAAGCTACCGTATACTCAGTCAGAATATGGGTCCAGTTAACCCAGCCTTGTGTACTCTGTGGTAGTCAACATGGTGCCCTCCAACCTGAACCGCCAACAACTCCAGCCATCATGACCAGGGATGATTAGAGTTGGAGTCCAACGACAACATCACATTTGCTTTCCCTGGTCTCCACTGACTGGTAGTGGCTCTTGGGTGTGTGTTTTATTGATTTATTGTGCTCAGGGCAACAGTGTTTTATAATCTACTTTAATCATGCAAAACCTAAATTCCCCACTATGTACTTCACTCCCTCCTACAAAATTTTGACAGCCTGGAGGCAACCTAAAACTGACAACTTTTGCTATCTTACAAACCTGATCGAAATCTCGGTCTCTTTCCCTCCATCTTGAAGAATGTGGCAATACAGTCAAATTAAATGAGGGGTGGGGGTGGGGAGAATCATGTGTGCCACCACCTTGAGCTCTTGGGAGAAAAATGTGGCATATGCCAAGCTTCGGGTATATTGTGCCCTTACACCCGCTTATATCCTTTACTTGAATATTCTGTAAAACAAGAACAAAAATGGGCCAATCGTGTGTAGGAGGGCTGCTGATATAGAATCATAGATGCAGCCAAGATAACTGATCCAAAATAGCAGCCCCTTTTAATCTGGATTACATTTTCTTTTTTGTTTACACCTAGCAATTTTTAAAGCGTGAATAAATTGTTCCTTGAATGTATTAGAAATGTTTGGGATCATGACAACCTCAGGTGCTTAACTGGGAACAATAATTTTGAAAGGCCAGTGGAAAAAGATCTATATATATTTTGCCATTTGCCTCTATATATTATTTTCTCATACATATATAGTACATGTATAGTGCAATCCTATACTTGCCTACTCAAAAGTAAGCCCCACCAATGGGACTTACTCCCAGGTAAGTATTCATAGGATTGCAGCATTACTGACCTTTTTAAACAATTGAGTACCCTTAATTCTACCTGATGCCACTGAAAATTATAGGCACATTTTACTCTTGATCATGAAAACATTTGCATTTTACACCCAGATATACACATACCTTGATACAGCAAATTCAACAAATGTTGTGAACTGGAGGGTTGGAGTTGAAAGCCTGTCCTTGACTCTGTTTCTTCCCTTTAATGTTCTGACTTTTGGTGGTGGTTTACTACAGGAAGTAATAGCCTAATCAGACTATAAAAGCAGCCAGAAGGAGACGGTGATTTCAGCCGCAGACTGTAGCCGATAAAGTCCTTTGCCTCACTCGACGTGAGAGATAAAAAAGGCGGCATTTTCTTCCTCATTATTCAACCACTCCTGAAAAGTGTTTGCCTCCGCTTTCTTCTTCTCCTTCGCTCTGCTGAAGTTACATAAACAGTGTAAAGTGTCGTGACAAGATGGGGGATGCTGTCAGGGACAACCTATAACTAGAACATTTCCACACCTCAGTCCTAAAAAGGGGAGGGGTGTGTGTCCTTATGCAACTGATCTGTCTTTATAAATTAGAGGATCAAGTCAGTTTCACCTGTCATGAGGGCAGGACTGCAGACACGAAAACAACAGAGGATGTGTTGATGTTTTCCATTGCTACGAAGACACTCTGCTTCATGTCTAATGTTGTCTCTGTGGCAGATCCACAAGAGCAAAGGAGGCACTGCCCCAGTTCCCCACCAATATCAGTCTGCACTTAACCAACCACACCTCCTTACCTTACAAGCAGTCCAGGTGGTGGCAGTGGCAGTCAGCTTCCTCTTCCCCAACGTTGCCCCATTGTAGAACTTAGCAGAGAGGAAGATGGGGTCCAAACCAGAATGGCATTGGCTCTGTGTGTCATTGGCTTTTGGATCTACCTGTTGCAGATTATTAATATTGCACAGTTTGAAGCAACTGGAAGCATATGAATGGACTCCTTTGGGAAGAAATCATTGCCCGGGCCCATAAAAGTATGATTTAAACTTTTACAGGCCGAGCTCTTCAAAATAAAACGGAACACAGTAAACGATGCCTCCAAAACACCCATACAATCTCTTGTGCTGTTCAGCACAGGCTCGGCATCTTAGAAAATATGAAATAATCCAAACAGACCTAGAAACAGAGGTCTGTCTCTCCCCACAACCTGCTTTCCAACCTCAGTTGGCCTTCGGTTGTTTACTCTCCCTTCCGGAGAGCTTCCTTTGCATCCTTACTCCACGGAGTTTGGGAGACAAAGACTCAAAGGCAACTCTTCAAAATGGAATTTTGCAACTCAATACCTTCATCACATGATCAAAGGTTTGCTCTCAGCACAGAGTAGAAAACAATCGACAGTTATTCATTAACCCATCAAGGAGCTTAGGATCCCTTAGAAAACTGGTTGGGGGCGGGGAAATCCCCAGTGTTAGCAATACACATTGAGACATTTCCCCCCCTTTTAAACCTTCATTAATACACATACATTTCCCATTTCTCTGTCAATTAAATCAACATTCCTACTGCTGATCTCCCTGGCTCCTGCCCTGCCAGTCTGAAGAGGCACCAGCCACTCCCCTGTGGCAGATGAGACTATAAATGGCCTCAATGACTAACTGACTATATCCTCCCTCCACTGTGAGAGGCAATATGCCTCCGTATAACAGTAGGCGGGAATCAGAAGTGGGGACAGGGCTGTTTCTCTCAGATCTTGCTTATGGGCTTCCCAAAGGCATCTGCTTGGCTACTGTGAGAACTGGAGGTTGACTGAATCCATAGGGGTTTCCATAGTTTCTTACATACTGAATTAGCATACATTCATGATGTCGATGACTCGATGTCATGAACTGGCAAGATGATGGGGAGGAATAAGAGGAGGAAGAGGGGAGTAGCCGGGACTGGGACACACCGGAGCAAGCAGGGGATGGAGAAGGAAGTACAGTGGTACCTCTGGTTAAGAACTTAATTCGTTCTGGAGGTCCATTCTTAACCTGAAAATGTTCTTAACCTGAGGTACCACTTTAGCTAGTGGGGTCTCCTGCTGCCGCCGGGCCACCAGAGCACGATTTCTGTTCTCATCCTGAAGCAAAGTTCTTAACCCGAGGTACTATTTCTGGGTTAGCGGAGTGTGTAACCTGAAGTGTCTGTAACCTGAAGTGTCTGTAACACGAGGTACCACTGTACTCGCAGGGTGACAGAGGATGGAGAGGGAATGGGGGGTCAGTGCGCAGGAACCAGAGCAGCAGGACCCATCACCAGAGACAGAGGGGCCCCTGTCTCCCTGAACACGATGGCCTCTAAGGTATAAAAGGTAAAGGGTCCCCTGACCATTAGGTCCAGTCGTGGCCGACTCTGGGGTTGTGGCACTCATCTCGCTTTATTGGCTGAGGGAGCCGGCATACAGCTTCCGGGTCATGTGACCAGCATGACTAAGCCGCTTCTGGTGAACCAGAGCAGCACACGGAAATGCCGTTTACCTTCCCGCCAGATCTGTACCTATTTATCTACTTACACTTTGACGTGCTTTCGAACTGCTAGGTTGGCAGGAGCAGGGACCAAGCAACGGGAGCTCACCCCGTCGTGGGATTCGAACCGCCGACCTTCTGATCGGCAAGTCCTAGGCTCTGTGTTTTAACCCACAGTGCCACCCGCATCTCTAAGGTATAGGGAGCAGCAGAAGGCATGTTCTAGGAGGCTGAGGCAGGCAAGGGCCCACAGTCCAGCTCCCTGGTTGGCCAGGTGGGGCTCGCTAGCTCTGGGAGGAGGTGTGTGATTCCTCAGCAGGAGTAGACTTAGAACAGGTGAGGGTCACATGACCCATCAAGCCCAGACGCTGCAATCAGCAGGCAAAAGGGAAGCAGAGCTGAGGTGCCTTGTCTGCTCAAGTGCCCATGTTGATGGACATGGACTTGGTTGTTCCTAGATCTCTACAGGACTGTGCTTTGTGTTTTACTCTGGACAGACTGCCGGACTTGGCTACTGGAATTGATCTTGGACTGTGTTTCCTGAATATTGGACTTTGCTTATGTGGATTGTGGATTGACTTTGGGTTTCGCATAATGACTTGCTGCCAGTTAGGCTAGGGGTTCAGAACACTATTCTTTGCCTACTCTCTAAGAAAGGTTGGCTGCTGCAAGTCTTAAGTTTCAACTCGTTTTACTCTCGTGCTGTTACGATAATAAATACGTGAGTACAACATGGTGTACCTGGAGAACATCAACTTGTTAAGTGACTAAGAAGGCTGTGTGAAATCTTTGTTTCCTTCTTTAGCTTGGGAACAGATATGGGCTGTAGTCTTTGGGTGGAGGAAATATTGGCTCTGTCTCGCTGAAAACATGAACTCCTTAAGGATGCAAGAACCCTTTCTAATTATGGAAGCCAGAAGCTGAGAGTCTGTGTTAAGTGGAAACGAGCATCTCAGACTTGGCACAAGTGATATGACTCAAAAGATACATGAAGAACTTTGTTGTTTAAATGGGGCTGGGGAAGTAAGGGACAGGAGGGGGAGACAGGAGAAGAGAATGTTTGAGGAATGTTGCATTGAGTAAATATAGGGAGACATTTTGAAGTAAATAATAATAATAATAATAATAATAATAATAATAATAATAATAATAATAATACTATTTATACTCTGCCCATCTGGCTGGGTGTTCCCCAGTCACTCTTTAAAAACAAAATTGTGGGCATGGAAAGAGGAATAGAAAGTGACAATATATACACCCCCCCAAAACACCAAAACAAATTGTCTGCAACCCACAGGGGGAAAGCATCAAGCTTGGTGTTGTTTGAGGGTAACATCATATCGACTGTGCCAGTTAGATGAGAATGTGAACATTTACAAACTACAGTAAACCCTAGTGTGGACAAGCCCCCAGTCTATTTGGATTTATTCCATCCTTGATTCATGACATCCACAGTCTCACCCACATCTGATGGAGAGAGAGAGAGAGAGAGAGAGAGAGAGAGAGAGAGGAGTACTAGGTGACAAACGGAGAAGAGAAGCTGACGAGAAGCAGCTGAAAAGAGACCTGAATAAGAAAATTAATTATTATAGCTGTTAATTAACTGATTGCATCAAGTGCCTTTATGGGTAATAAATCCTCCTACATATAACACAAAAAGGACTTGAGGATTAAGGTCTTGTGAACTGCTGAATAAATTGTTACAAGTAGTATACTATTGCTGCCATAATTTCCAATGGAAGGCATTCCATTTTCCGGTGTATCTCCCCTGATCCAATGCTTCTGCATATAGAAATATGTCACCCAAACCTTACAGGATATGAAGTAAGAGCTTTGGATGTTTCTCACACAAGCCCTAACTTCCTATATTGTATCCCTAGGGTGGAAACTCACAAAGCAATAGTTAGCTCCTTCTCTAGTGCATTCATGTGACCAGGATAAGCAAGTCTCTCAGCAAAAAATAATCCACTATTTCATATTTCTTCTGAAAAATGGGAATAGCCAGTATGAATCTGGTCATAAAACTGTGATTATAAAAAGGGTACCAGCCCTAATGTACTTTGATTGGGAAGTCTAAATCCACTTTCCGTAGGTGCATCTCAGAAAGACCAGATTTCAAATAGTATTTCTCTGTGCAACTCTGCCTTGAGAGGCACATTTTAGACATTTTTTTAAAAAAAGATTGTCCTGAATTTTAACTGATTTTATATCTACTACTTTTTGAATTTTTTATGTTGCTGTGATAATTGCTTTTGTTTCTCATGTTTTTGATCTGTTTTATATTTGTTTTTTTGGTTCTCTTTTGTAGACTGCCTTGAAAATCTAGATTAATAAAATTATGTTCCAAAAAAACAATAACCCATTTATCTAAATAGCCTCTGGCCAATCCACAGTTTGTCTCAAGACAAAAATGTCTCAAAATGATTGCTGTTCAATCTAACCTAACACAGGGGTTGAGCTACCTTGACTCACCTCCTTTCTGTTTTCCTTAACACACTGCTCTTTGCTGCAAGGCAGTAGGAAAAAGCTACTCTTGGTTGGATAGAAAAACAACAACACAGTTTATGATCTTCTGAAAGTTTTCATTGATACTGAGGTCCACACACACACAAAAAGATAGAGATTTGTGGAAGCATTCCATGTTATAGCAAACACCCCAGAGTCAACAAAAATTAACCATGCTGCTTTTGAACAACTGATATTCCAACCTTCAAGTGTTCATTGACGACAAAAGTTCTCTATGGGTTCTGAACATCCTAAAGTGGTTCTTTGATGTATTTTCACCCCTTAGTTCAACAGATCTATTTTTCTTCTCATGAAAGTAAACATAACCTTGTTTCCCTGCATTTGGAAAGTCAAGTCTTGTTTTTCTCTGAAGGAATCCTTTTAGAATACTAAAAGAATCAGAGTCACTAAATTCAAATGATAAATATAGGACTTCGTTTATAAGTTTCTTTCAGATGAACAAACGTTTCCAATTTGGCAAATGATTTGTTGGTTGCAAACAGCTTGGGTGACCTTTCATTCACACAAAGCAAATACTTGTAGGCTACAGAGAACTACAAACAGAACATATATTATAAGTGGAAGAATGTGTTCTACCTTGCCACTTCAGGTTTGTTGTTGTTGTTTTTAGCTGTAAAATTTAGGCAGTTTTTTTCCCTTTCTTTTTGCTGGCCTCTGCTCCACTCCCCAATCTGCCAACAAAACGTGTGCCCCATTCCCAACTCCACCCTTTGATCTACTCCAGATCCCAGAATTTCTGGATTTGTGATCTGGCAGCCGTAGGATCCACCTGGAAACAACAGTTCCACATCCTTAGCACGACACCATGTTGTACTTGGGGCGGTGGGGGAGTTTCATAGCAAAGTTTCCAGATTTTATTGTGTCTGCAGGGACCTTTCGAAGTTCTACTGCTATGTTCTACTCGCTGTTTTCAGCAGCCTACCTGTTAAAGTTACCCTGACTCAGACCGCTGGAGTTCAAAATGATTGTGGTCAAAGAGCATCACACAGCACAGGATGACACCTTTAGAGCCAGTTCTCCAGCTGTTGCCTTCCCTTGGAAAAAAAAGGCCTCCATCAGCTCTTATAAACTTGCTGAGGTTACCGAATTTTCACTCAACAGGACAGGAAACACCCATACCATCCCCTCCTCTTCCTGTGTTCAAATATCTATTCAAAGGCTTTGCTGTGGTTTGGGCAGCACTGGCTATTCTCAGTTTCTCAGGTTTCTCAGTTCTCCACATCTCCACATCGGTTTGCTTTTTTTAAAAAAAGTCC